ACTTAAGAAAGCGGTAAAAAAAAAACCTTTGCTGACGATGAATACAATGAAGTAAAAAGAAACGCTAATGAAAAAAAAATGTCCCATCCGGAACTGTCTGAAAGATCTGGATAGAGAGACCCATTCAATAGAAAGCGTTACACAGAATTAAAGTATTAGTAGCGAGTGTTACGGCCAGATGTTATCTTCAGTTGCAGACCTCCCTACACACTCATTTATCTTATTATTAAAAACCTCTTTCAAAGTAGCCTACAGTTCGGCGGTGGAGACAGATGGTGTCGGAATTCACAGTCGTTTGAAAAGACAGAGTCAATCACTGATGAACGTTTGCATTGAATTCTGGTAAGACACGTTGGAATGAATGAAGGATTGATGGACAGTAAGAACAGAAAGATAACTACGCGAAAAAAAATAGATCGATTAAAAAGTTTACTTAAGGGTTGAAAGAACGTTAAAGTAAAATGTTTAAAGAAAAAAAAAAGGAATATAATCAGTCAAATGTCGAATAAAAGAAACTACATACAATAAAATATAACTAGATAAAAGAAAGTTAATACGAAAAATTGGAACGGAAATAGATACGAATCAAGAAGACGAAACGACAACTCTTAAAAAAGCAATAGCAACTTTGCAAAAAATGAAAACAAACATTATTGAATTTCAACAAACCTTCTGCATCTTCTATGTGCTCTGTCCTTTCATAACATGGCTCTCCACAATTCCCAGCTCTTTGTAGCTCTCAATAAATTGTTTCATTTTGTTATTTCTCCCAAATGTTACTCCACCATCCATCTACTCAAGCACGTTAGGTAGGTTATGCGTTGTTTTCCTCTGTCCTTGCCTTGAATCTGCCTTGTGAGTATTAAATATTCCAAGCCCTCTTTCCTCATTATATTCTCCAAAAATTTCTAATGACTCTTTATATTGTTAAGTATATGTCTCTTTTTTTGTTTTCCATTGTCTCTAGAACTTTCTCGTTGCTCACATGTTCGGTCCATGGTATTCTCAGCATCCTTCTGTAGAACGAAGTTTCTACTGCTTCAAGTTTATTCTTCATCTATGAAGAGACTCTCTAGTATTTATATAGGAGGGCTGATATTAGGTAATAGTTTAGTAGTCTTTCTTTTGTTCCTAACGAAATTTTATTTTATATATTGCTTAGCGTTTGGAAGCCATCTTTCGATATCCCAAAGCGCCATCGGATTTCAATGTTGCAGTTTTCTGTCCTCAGAAACTGAAAAAAAATCATGACTAGGTCTCGAATTCTTCAAGAATCGAGTGGATAACTATTTTTGTCTACGTTTGGTACGATTGAAAAGAAAATCTTTATTACAAATTATTAAGAATTTGGACAAAATCTTATTGTAAATTTATTATAATGAACATTTGTCTTGTTTGAGCGACGCTTTCAAGGAAAAAAATAATAAAGAAACATATTTTTCTCGACAAAAATTGAATTGTCATTTGATTGCTGAATCTAAGGTCAACATTAATTCCAGTGTTGTAAATTGAAATTTCCATCTTTTGCATATGTCTCCATTTTTGAATGAGAAAACAAATTTCTGTGACATAGACTCAAAACAAAATCCCCCAAAACAATTTTTCTGCTCCAAAATCATTCTTATTTGTATGTGAAATGTGTTTTTTTTATCTTCATTTATCCATTTAGTACATCATTTCTCATCATCATCATTTATGCCGTTAGCAAATTCGCGCCGCTGGGACATCACCACTCCCTTCCATCTCTCAATTATGGTTCTTAGTGACATTCAAGGCAAAATAGTCCAATGGCTTGCCGGTTGCTTTTGCACGAGGTATGACCCTCTTCTTTGCGAGGTAAATTTGTTTTTGACCTTCTAGACTTTGCCTAAATTGTCGAGACCTACAAGGTAGCATGGTGGTTAGATTTTCCTTCTCCTAGACTGGTTGCCACCCATATCTATAGAACCCAGTCTGTTAGCCATAGCTGGTAGAATATATGGATAATACCTTTGCCATAAGTTAATGTAATGAACCCGACTGGAATTCGAATTCTGCTCTCAGATTCTTTAATTCGAGACGCTGACCATTACTCTACATTGCTTCCATATTTTGCTCATTTGAAAAAAAATTGCACTTACATCCCTTTAACACAACTCGGATTAATTGCAATTCCGATGTTTTCCAACCGCTCACTTTCAATTCACTGCCCTTAGGTACTGATTTTCGGCTATGTTTTCATCCATTGTGTCATTGCCTGTTAAAGTCTCATGTTCGTTTGAATGCATTCCAGAAGCGAATCAAGTCGGGAACAAAAAAATATGAGTACCGAATAAAAATCCTCTTACACCGCAGTCAATGTTAGAATAATCTTAGATAATTGATAGATTTGTGTGTTATTTAAAGTCGAAACGTACCGGACCTACGAGTAAGTTTTTTTTTTTTTTAAATCTGCTAGATTCCCTTTCCGGCGTTGGGGAGAAGGCAGGTAAACCATTTTTCTATTTCGAAAAAATACCTTCACTTGTGTTCTTCCGACATTTCCCTTTGCGTCTTTATTTCTTTATTTTAAATATTTGACTAAATGTCTGGGTCTTTGATAGGTAATACTAAGGTCATATATATATATATATATATATATATATATATATATATATATATATCATACATTCCCCTCACATTCCCCGTTATAATTTTTTTTTCCCCTTTGTGCTGTGCATATTCACGCGGTTTGAAATATATATATATATATTTCCCCTCATACCATTAATCATTTCATTTTTTAATGTTTTAATTGTATGTAGGGTGTTTGTGTGAGTCAATATATATTGCAATAATTGTTAAATTGTTCGCAGTCGACCCTGATGAGCTTGGGAACGAAACCGGTTGGTCTGTTCTGTAAGTGTTATCATCTCTTATTTTTTATTTTTCATAATGCCTTTAGGAAATAATTTGTATCTATTCCTTGCAATATATGTCACGTTCGGATGAATGGATGTCCTCACGGGGAGTCGTCGTGTCTTCAGCGACTATTGGGCTTTAAACTCACCCCAGAAATCAAATGGAACTCAATCCATCGTTAAAGAGCCAGAAATAATGGTCGGTATCCTGTACCATTCCATTAAGTATCTGATTCCTGGTTCTTTATACTCTACCTTTACAAGAGCCAAATCCAGACGAAAATGGAGTACTGCTATCATATATGGACAGGAGCTGTCCAGTCCTCACTTTTCAGTCTCGAAAGAATCCAAAAGTGTCTTGTAGGCTTTAAATATTTTCCACCCTCTGTCAAAGACGAAATGTATCAGGTCTCTCAGTGCTCTACCATTGCTTCAATGGAAATTTGTTAGACGAACTGCATTCCTTGGTTCAACCAGTTCATAACCTTCACAGCTACGACCCGCCATGGCACTCATATTGTAGCAAACCGCCAACATTTCTTCTATACTCCATTTGTGTGAAGTAAGTTCCTCTCGAGCAGCTTCTTCTAGCGAGTCATGTTCTGGGAAACTGAAGGGTATTTCCACGATCACTAAAATCTTAACATGTCCAAGTCTAAGATTAACCGTTAACATCCCAAACTATTCGTATAAATTGTGCCTCTTACTCCCAACTCTGGACCTCACCATAAAAAAAACAAAAAAAACAGGCGTGAACCAGGCTTGTGTCCAGATTTTAACCAGGCTAGTCTCGACTCGTCTTAGCGCATTCATTCAGTAGGCTTGTCTCACTTCGACTAAGTCCAAGCGTCAAGTAGGCTTGTCTCACTTCTGAGCCAAGCCGTTCACCAGGCATTAGCCCAGGCATTCAGTAGACTTGTCTTACTTCGACTAAGCCCAAGCGTCATGCTGGCTTGTCTCACTTCTTCTGAGCCCAGGTGTTCACCAAGCTAATCTCGACACGGGTTAGACCAGGCATTCAGTAGGCTTGTCTTATTTGACTACGCCCAGGCTTCAAGTTGGTTTGTCTCTTTTCTTCTTAGCCCATCTGTTCATCAGGCTAGTCTCTACTCAGGTAAGCCCAGGCATTCATTAGGCTTGACTTACTTCGACTAAGCCCAGTTGTCAAACTGGCTTGCCTCTCTTAGCCCAGCTGTTCACCAGGCTAGTCTCTACTCAGGTAAGCCCAGGCATTCACTAGGCTTGACTTACTTCGACTAAGCCCAGTTGTCAAGCTGGCTTGCCTCTCTTAGCCCAGCTGTTCACCAGGCTAGTCTCTACTCAGGTAAGCCCAGGCATTCACTAGGCTTGACTTACTTCGACTAAGCCCAGTTGTCAAACTGGCTTTCTCTCTTGGCCCAGCTGTTCACCAGGCTAGTCTCTACTCAGGTAAGCCCAGGCATTCACTAGGCTTGACTTACTTCGACTAAGCCCAGTTGTCAAGCTGGCTTGCCTCTCTTAGCCCAGCTGTTCACCAGGCTAGTCTCTACTCAGGTTAGCCCAGGCATTCAGTATGGTTGTCTTACTTCGAAGCCCAGGTGTCAACCAGACTTGTCTCAAGATTTGTGTAGCCTTGTCTGAGCTCAGGTGATCATTAAGCTTATTTCGCCTAGTCTACCACAGGTATTCCCCTGGTATGAAATGGGTATTGTGGTGTAATAGAAATCAGGGAGCCGAGTTCGAATTCCTGTCGGGCTCTTTGCATTCTCATATATATATATATATATATATATATATATATATATATATATATGGCCTTGGGGAAGATATGAATCTATTTCTTCTCAACCCTCGAGCTAACTTTGGTTGGCTAATAGTCTACGGTACAAATAAACAGGAACCTACTACCTAGTCAGTCATGAATCGAAAGAGACATGATCGCCCAAGCGTGTATCGCGTATGGCGCTTAACTGACTGACATGATGCTTGTTTCACTTCTTCACTGAGGCCATGCTTTCACCAAACTAGTCCAGGCAGACTCTAAACGAATTCAGTGAACCAATTCTAGACGCCTGAAGTCTTGATTTGAACATGAAAGCACATCAGTAACTCAGGAAACTGCGACGCAAGAAAAAAACTTTCATGTTCTTTCTTTCTTCCTTCCTTCCTTTCTTTCTTCCTTTCCTCCTTTCTTTCTTTCTTTCTTTCTTTTTTCTTTCTTTCTTCTTTCTTTCTTTCTTTCTTTCTTCCTTTTTCCTTTCTTCCTTTCTTTCTTTCTTCCTTTCTTTCTTTCTTTCTTTGTTTCTTCCTTTCTTTCTTTGTTTCTTCCTTTCTTTCTTTCTTTCTTTCTTTCTTCTTCCTTTCTTTCTTTCATTCTTTCTTTCTTTATTTATTTCTTCGTTTCTTTCTATCTTTCTTTTTTCTTTCTTTCTTTCATTCTTTCTTTCTTCCTTTCTTTCTTTCTTTTTTTCTTTCTTTCTCCTTTTCTTTCTTTCTTTCTTTCTTTCTTTCTTCCTTTGTTTCTTTGTTTCTTCCTTTCTTCCTTTATTTCTTTGTTTCTTCTTTTCTTTCTTTCTTTCTTTTTTCTTCCTTTCTTTCTTCCTTTCTTTCTTTCTTCCTTTCTTTATTTCTTTCTTTTTTCTTTCTTTCTCCTTTTCTTTCTTTCTTTTTTCTATTCTAATATGTCTCTTTCTGTCTCTCTCTCTCTTTCTAACACTTCTCGTTCCCTCTTTCTTTGTGCCCTAATACAACTCTTTCTTTTTCTCTTCTAATACTTATTTGCTCTCTTCATACTTCAAATTCTCTCTCTCTCTCTCTCTCACCCTCTTTCTCTTAATAATTCATTGTTTTTTCTCTCCTAATACTTCAATATTTGTCTTTCTTTCGCATGTGATACTTCTCTTTTTACTACTTTTTTCTTTATTCGTGCTTCTCTTTCGCTCTCTCTCTCTCTCTCTCTTTCTCTCCGTATATTTCTCATTCTTTCTCTCTTTCTCCCTTAGTACTATGCTACCTCTTTATCTCTTATTACGTTTCTATGTCTTTTTCTCCTAATTTGGTCTCTTTCTCTCTCTCTCTTTCTCTCCTACTCTCTCTCGTAATCATTGTTTTCCTTTTCTCTCTTAATTCTTTCCTTTCTCTCTCGCTTTACCTCCTAATATTTTTCTTTTCCTTTCTCTTCTAATACGTCACTTTTTTTATATTACTTTCCTTTATATATTTCCTAATATTCCTCTTTCTCTCATAACACTACACTATCTCTCTTCCCCCCTCTCTCTGTTTCTCTCTGTTTCTCTCCTTCTTTTTCTCTCACGCACACTCTTTTCGAATACATATTTTACTTTTCTCTCTCTTTCCCTTCTAATACTTCTCTTTTTCCCTCTCTTAATATTTCTCTTTCTCTCTAAACTTCCCTTTTTCTCTCCCACTCTCTCTGTCTCCTGATACTTCTTTCCTATTTATCTCCTAGATCTTTTCTTTCTCTTGCTCTCCGAAAACTTATTTTATCTCTCTCTGTCCTTATTTTCCCCCTCTCTCTCTCTTCCCATACTTATCTTTCGTTCTCTCTCTTTCTCTTCTAATATATGTTTCTCTCTTTCTCACCTAATACTTCCCTATCACGCTCTTTCTCTCTCTCTCCTGATCCTTCTCTTTCCAAATCTATTTTCTTATTCCCTCTGCCTCTTTCTCTCTTAATACATATTTCGCTTTCTCTCTTAATACCTCTCTCTCTTTCTCTGTCCTAATATTTCTCATTCTCTCGCAACATTTTCCTTTCTCTCCCACTCTCTCTGACTCCAGATAATTATTTTTCCTTTTCTCTTCTATTTTTTTCCTTTTTTTATCTTCCTCTCCTAATATTAATTTTCTCTCTCTTTCTGTCCTAATTATCATTTATGTCTCTCTTTCTCTTCCGATACATATCTTTCCATCACTCTCTCTTTCCATTCTAATACTTCAGGTTCTCCCTCTCTCCTGGTCCTTTTCTTTCAATTTCTCTCCTGTTTCCGCCCCTTCTCTCTCTCTCTCTCTCTCTCTTAGTACTTTTCTCTCTTTCTCTCCTAATACATCTCTCTACTAATGTCTCTTTCTATACTAATACCTCCCGGTTCCCCCTCTCTCACCTGATCCATCTGTTTCCATTTCTCCCCTATTTTTCCGTTTTTCTCTCTCTCTCTCTCTCTCTTAATACATATCTTCCTCTCCTAATACTTCTCTCTGTTAATATTTCTCTTTCTCTCCTAATACTCCCCTTTCCCCCTCTCTCCCATGATTCATCTGTTTACATTTCTTACCTATTTTTCTCTCTCTCTTTTTCTCTTAATACGTCTCTATCTTTCTTTCCTAATACTTCCTTTTTATCCCATGATCCATCTATTTCCATTTCTTTCCTATTTTCCCTTTCTCTCTCTCTCTCTCTCTCTCTCTCTGTTTCTCTCCTAATATTCCTATTTTACCTTCTCTCTCACCTTATCCATCTGTTTTCATTTGCCTCCTATTTTTCCATTTCTCTCTCTTTTTCTCTCTTAATACTTCTCTCTCTGTCTCTCTCCTAATACTTCACTCTAACTCTTAATATTTCTCTTTCTTTCCTTTAAGCATCTTTTTCTCATCTCTTCATTTTTCTTTCACTAGCTTTAATTCCTAACTTTTTCTTTTTACCGATCTGTCTTCTCGCCATCTTTGTTTTCCAATTATACTCCAATTGTAGTCAAACCCAGTTAATATCTCCCCATAGACTAACTCGATACAATCAGATTAGAAAGAAAGCCCTAAGTATTCGTAACTTCAATTAGAATCGACTTCATCTTTTTCCCTGTGTAAGATTTATTGACCGGTGCTTTGTCAAAAGGTGACCCCGCTTTAAAAGCAGGCCGGGTGAGATATTCTTTGTTGCAGTAATCAATTGCCGTCTTATTTTCTTTTCGCTTCATTTAATGCGCTTGTTTTTTTGTTTTGTTTTTTGTGGGGGGTTGCTTTTTGGTTGTTTTTTTCTTGTTTTTATACGGTTTCTTTCTTTTGTCCCTTTTTTTAATTTTACTTTCGCCATATTTTGCCTCTACGATATTTTATGCGTTTCTTGTTTCTCAATCTTATTGGATCGCCATTTCAGGCCTTACTTTTATGGCTTTTCTCTCAACTTTATTGATTGCCTTTTTTGTTTGTTTGTTTGTTTGTTTTTTAACTTTCATTTTTATCGTGGCTTTTTTAAAAAATTTTTTATTTAATTTACTTCATGAATGATGGTCTTCGTTACTATCCGTTTGCAATAATTATCGACAGATTTTGCCTAAGCTTATTAGACATAGAAAAAACACTATTCAGAAGGACACGCATGCCTGATGCTTGATTTCATAATGCATTTTTCTAACTAAAACCAACGGGGCAGCTGATACGACCAAAAGCAGACAACCAGAAGTAAAAGGGATCCAAGTAAGAAACTCAACAAGACTATGTTCATTATTTCCAATCGACGCAGATTCGTAATGACCATTAAATGATGCTGCGTGTAGTTACGATGAAAAGCAACAAAAATTAAAGAAATACTAGTCAAAAAATAATAATGGCTGACAATGCTTCATCTAATAATAATTCAAGATAATATTACTACTATTGGAAATAAAGTAAGTAAATTTAAGATAAAAGAAATACTAGTCAAAAATGAATAATTTCTGACAATACTTCATGTAATAAAATTCAAGTTAATATTACTACTAATGCAAATAAAACAAGTAAAATTAAGATGAAAGGAATACTAGAAAAAAATTAACAATAGCTGACAATGTTTCATCTAATAAAAATTCAAGATAATATTACTATAGTAGTAATAAATCATGTAAAATTACGTCGGAAGAAATACCAGTCAAAGATTAATAATAACTGACAATGCTTCATCTAATAAAAACTCAAGATAATTTTCTTCTCGGTACACTGTTCCTTTAGGCCCCCGGGGAACTGTCTAATTTTTGCTATAGTGCCAAGGGCTCCCCACATTAAACCTACTATGTGTCACCTTCCATCACATTTGGCGACGAGTAAATATGATACCTAGGTTCTATGAATTTAAGCGCAGTACTAAATTGGTGGCAAGGTATTAACATTTTACATTCAAAAGGGTTAGATATAACCGGAAGTTCTATGCTAAGAGTTTCTTTTATCGCACTACTCCCTTGTGGAACTCCCTCCCAGGTTCTTCCTTCCCAGTCAACTATGATCTTCGAAAATTGAAGTTCAATTCCAAACGTCTGTCTTCTTAAATCCCGTTCTTTTATTGTTCTTGTTTCTTAATATTTTTTTTCGTTTTCCTATATTCTTTCACACTCAGTAACCCTCTGCGTCTTAGTGGTTTCTTTGCCTTTTTTCGATTGAAATTTTTAAAGATGAAAGAAATTAAAACAAAAATCACTAGACAACAAGGATGCTTCATGTCATAAGATTTCAAGATACTATTAATAAACATGTAAATGCTTCTATTATGAATGAAGCGATTCTAATAATATATTATATCGAAATAATATTACTACGTGTGTAAATAAGGCAACCAAATGTAAGAAGAAAGAAACATTGCTACAAAATCATTAATGGTTGACAATGATTTATCTCATTAAAACGGAAATAAAGATTTTCTACTAATGCAGATAAAACAACTAAAATAAAAAAGGAATGACATGTTATTCAAAAAACGAATAATGGTGGACTATCTACTAAAAAGACAAGATTACTATTAGTTTAAACAAAATACCTAAAACGACAAAAGGTCCATAAAACTCCAGGATCATTTATAAAATAAAAATACCAAATATTTTATAATAATTGTGCTTGCCTCTCCATCCGTTAGCGAGTACGACCGTTACGTCCTTCCAATTCTTCATAGATAATGGACTATTCCTGTTTGATCACGTGGTAAGACAATACATATCAGAGACTCTACCTGGTTTCAGTGAAGGAAAGATAGATAGATAGATAGATAGTGATCATGCTTAGATAGATAGATAGATAGATAGATAGATAGATAGATAGATAGATAGATGCGTTTAACTTCGGTTAATATCTCATATATAATGGATTATTCCATTTCGATCGCGTGAGAAGACAAAAGACATCAGAAACGTTAGTTTGTTTCAATGATAAAAAGAATGAAAGAAAGATAGCAGTGTTTAACGGCTGTTTCAGTGAAATGAAAAAAATTCTCAATTTCAAATCTTTTCATTTGTACCCCCTTACTTCTTAAAATAACGACCAGCATTTAAATTTATAACTGTTATTTTAATATTTTGTCAAAGTTGTTGAGCCCGAAGATTTAACGATACAATTCGGGGATTTCTACGTATATTTTGTCACAGAACTCGCCATGAGCTTATTCAGTTATTAACTGAAAATTCATCAGTATACTAAAATAGGAAAACCGTGAAACTTTTCCAGGTAAAAAATAATAATAAGTATAGTAAATGTTCCAGTTTGTTAATTACAGTGAACTTATACTGGCTATAAATTGCCTCAGGCCCCAATAATTACAATATTCTAAACTAAGCAGGTAAATTATTCAGAAGCGAGGCTTAAGATATAGTATCACATACTACTTCATGCAACGATATATATTTAGTAATTTAATAAGAATGTTACAAAGGTTTATGTGTCTATTTTATCATATTAGTCTTACTCTTATTCATTTACAGTTTTTCCTTACGTTTTGTTCACGAGTTTTGCATTTACGTCTAAAGAAATTTTATATGCCTTAATGTGAAAGAAAATTTATTAGTTTTAATGTGGTTGTCAGTAGTGAAATAGGAATTTGTTTTCATGTCTGCATTTTCAAAATATTTGCTCTTTAAAGATTATTTTAATTTTCTCATTGGGGCAAATGTTGCATTGTTTTACAGCCTCGTTTGTAAGCTGGTGCAGTTTTTCTTATTCTCCGTGTTATTTTTTAGTCTGACAGCCATATCAAGTTGAAACACCGATTACCCTATAATAACCGAATTTAAGCAACATCAGTTCCTGGATAGGTGAGAGCTTGGAAATACGAAGTGCTGTAAGGTTGGATGTGCGTGTGGTGTAGTTGTTAATAAGAAAGTCCAAGTGTGATTACCTTTGGGTTCGTTATATGCACTTACGCGCAAATACCCCTGGGAAATGTATGAATCCACTTCTTCTCCCCAGCGATGGGTTAATTAGTAATACTTGTATCACTAAAACATTATTATTTAAATAAAAAAAAAACTTAAACTGAATGTTGGAGAGATTACGTAGAAAATATGTGTTCTCCAACAGGAATCGAATCTGCATACTAATACAGAAACCGTCATTTGATCTGACATGCTATACCATTTACCTACAGAGTTTAAAAACAGTAATTTGCACTTTGGTAAACAGAGCCTTCACTAGAGCTTAATGGTATAGCACGTTAGATCAAATTATGGTCTCCCTATCGGAATACAGGTTCGATTCCTGTCGGAGAACGAATATTTTCAACAAAAACAAAATTTCTCGAACATTCAGTAAATGTAATAGTGTTTAATGAAAAACAGAATCCATTTCAATATATATATATATATATATATATATATATATATATATATGACACACATTATATGAAATGGGCAAATATATATATATACTATATATATATATATATATATATGCACCTCGAGGCGGTGTAATGTTCAGCAAGCTTGGCTCGCTAGAACAATTACGACTGAGTAGTGAGTTCAATCCTCACTGGGTGCCCTCTAATTTCGGCCTTGTGTCACATCTAAGCTACTTTTGGAAAATCACTATATATATATATATATATATATATATTAAGAAATGGACAAGGTCCGACAATTTATTTATTAAAGACATATTTTATGTTTAACGTTGTTATTTTATAGATACAAATTTTTAAGCAAATGCTTTTATAATAAACAGTATTAAATAACATTTACCGGCCTGAATGTCCGATTTTCATAGAAATTTTCAAAGAACGAATATTTTCTATGAAAATTTCTCGTAAATGTTATTTAATACTGTTTATCATAAAAAATTTGCATTGTTAAAAATAACAACGTTAAACATAAAATATGTCTTTAATAAATATATATATATATATATATATATATATATATATATGCCGTCAGTTTATTTTTGAATTTTACAACAATTTGTAATATGATATCACGTCCAAATTTGACAGTTTTAACCGTTCTCGGATAACGTACACTACATGTGAAAAAAATCACTAACGAAGGGCTGGATTCATCTATGTCCCAGGCGAGGACATATTCGGCGAGTTTTAGGTTTTCCAAAAATGGGGACTCTGAACTGATGTTTCATTCTATATCTGATATATTCTTAAAAGGAAACGCCACCATGGACTTGTAAACAGGTGAAAAGGCAGATTTAGCCTCTTGTCAAGCATTGGGGACGTTCTAAAGAAAACTTCTAAGTTTGGCTGCTGTAAAACGAACTAAAAATTGATTGCCGCCTTCATCGCTGTATGGAGTGACGTCACTAGGTGTTTGTCATTTGATCCACGAGACGTATGTCATTAAAGGGAGGTAAACGCCTACTTTAT